AGAAACAATCTATTTCCCTGATCCTCATGGGCAGGTTTGGTGGTCCCTCTCTCTTCCTGGCTATGGTGCCCATCCCTCCTGTGGTTCTTGTCGCACCCAGAATCTTGCATCTTCATAAACTCTTCCAAGGCCATGAGGGATTTGCACTATGTGTTGCAGTGAGGACATGTACAGTCAGCGCGAGCCAAGGGTGCTGTGAATCCAGCTTTGGCTGATGTGAACGATCATGAGTTCTTGTCCCTCCTTCCCAGCTTTCTCTCTTCTGGGCTTTTGTGCAGAAATAAGGCCTTTGAGCAGTTTAGTGCTCTGCACTAACTACGTAGTTTTAAGTCCTCTACACCCACATGTACGCCTTTCCTTGGAAGAAGGATGCGTGCAGTGTGCATGGATGTTTGGCACCAGTTCCTCCCAGTTGCTGTCGTGCGAGGAGGAGCAGAGATGACAGCTGGAGGGGATTTCAGCTTCCTCAGCTTTCGGGTGGCAGCTGAGCCACTGCACTAAGGCAGCTCCCAAAAAGGTCAGAGGTGCTGCTGATGCACTGGAAATATGGAGGAAGCTCTCGGGCACGCAGAATTGCGATGCTGAAGCCCAGGTACCATTGAGTGAGTGCTGTCATCCACCTGCCAGGAGACTGGAGTTGCGTAGTTTGTTGCAGGAAACATTTCAGAGGTCAGAAGACTTGAACTGGCATGCCTGCTGCCTGCAGCAGCAATGCTGGAAGGGCCAATTGCCGAGCCATCACTCTCTCCCACCATGGTTTGTGCTCTGCCTTCCCTCTGCCTACCTGTGTCATCTCCATTGCCTGGGGACTGGTTGCACACCCGGCTCCATGTGAGATGCTGCCTTGTTCGAGGATTTGGACCTGTGGGCAAAAGCATCATTAACCAATCATTACCCACCACCATTACCCATCTCCTGGCAAGTAAACCCCACAAAAGGTTGTTGGCACGGAGTAGAAGGTGGAGGGGCTTCCTTGGACAACTGTTAGAATTCTCAGAGAAAATAATCTCCTCCCACCTCCTCTCATCTCTGACTGTCTCTGGCCAGCCCTGCAGCTGACGGAGCGAGTGGCCGCTGCCCAGATGGGACATGGCAGAGTGACAGCTTTGGTCCATTCCAGCACATGCTGCCAGGGCTCTGCAGCCTCCTAAGGACAGAAACTTCCCAGAGCCACGAAAGGCTGCGACTCCCCAGCCCGGCTGCGACCCAGACGTGTCTGACCACAAGGTGTGGGGAGGGCTTCTGTGGAGGGAGGTCTGTGTCACCTTCTCAGGGTGATGTGCTCCACTGAGGACCATTCTCTGCCCCGGGGGCACGTCTGTCACAGTCGATGAGATGCCACTGTGCAACCTAGCTGTGCTTTGAAGCTTGAAAGCATCAACCTTTCCTCCCTGGTCCTCTTCCCCACCAGGTCCTCTGTTACTGGACTGAGGTGTGGAGGAGAGGGATGGCTTTTAGGGCCTTGGAGGCTCTGCTGGGAGGCTGCTCCCTCCTGCAGCCCAGCTGCCTCTAAAAGCACATGGTGTTAAACCCACGCCTGCAGTGTCACACCTTGGCCCAGAAAGTTTCTTGTTTTGGCTCACGCTCAGCAGGGATCTGGCCAAGGCTGCCCCTGATGGGGCTTTGCAGAGAAAGCAGGGCGTAAGGAAGCATGAGGAGCTGCAGCCTGTGCAGGCAGGGGGGCATGAGAGGAGCCAGGTAGAGCTCCTGAAGCATCTTCCCACCTGCGTTAATCCTCGTCAATAGGTCCTTTCTTGTGAGGCTGGACAAGGCGGAGGTGACTCACTGATGGGTGAGAGGCAGGAGGTGGATGGCCCCACCCACCACATCATGAAATGAAGGGACCAGCCCTTCAGGGTGGGAGCAGCACCAAGAGAAAATCCATGTTGTGAGAGCTCTTTGTGTTTCCCTAGGGTGAGGCTGGACCCCCAGGACCCAAGGGCTACAGGGGAGACGACGGCCCCCGTGGCAACGAGGTCAGTGCTGCTTCATCACTGCATCTTCTGTGGAGAGGGAATGAAGGGAAGACCAGGAGACGCTGCCGTTAGGGCTGTCCCCAAATCCCTCAGATCTTGAAAACCTGTTGTAGGCACAAACTCAGATACTAGCTTCCTGGCAGACACACAGAGGCATTTTTCATGGGTCCTTAAGGCCATGGGTGCCTTTTTCCCCACCTCCCGGAGGCCATTTCTTGGAGAGGGTATAGCCACACCACAAGCCACGTGGCTTCTCATCACAGAAGCTGGGGGAGCTGTGCTCCAAGGGTAGCCACCTGAATCTGCCAGCAGTTTTGATCCCCAGGGCAGGGGGCAAGCTGAATCCCAAGCCCAACCGTGGGCTTTGCATTGCTCTTGTATAAGCAAAACACCTCCCATGGTGGGCTTGTGATGGTAGCTGGTTGCCTCAGAAGGCATCGTCTTCCCAGCTCAAAGGATGGTGTGCAATGCTTGACTGCTGCTTCTGCTCCTTCCAGGGCCCAAAGGGTTTTGCTGGAGCACCTGGGCTGCCTGGAGACCCTGGCCTCATGGGAGAAAGGGTGAGTGGTATTTGAGGGGATAGTATGCCATGTGGAAAAGATGTACAACAGCCTGGTTCCACACAGCCTGAACCACCTCAGCGAGAACAGAAATTACATTCATACACAGCTGAGATGCTGGGAAAATTCAAGCAAAAAAGCAGCCTGCTTTTGAATATACATCACATCTGCAGGCTCAAAGAGACGTGTTTTGGGATGTACTTTCCAGCAACAGAGACCTGATACTTCCCAGCCTGTTCCCAGCCGGTGGCCGTATCCCCAGTCTCTGTGAGGGACAGTGTCACTTGCCTGTCCGTGGCTGTGCCGTTCACACACAAGCAAGATTGCCTTTTTACCTGCTTGCACCAGTGTTCAAACCACTAGTCGCATATTTTTTTTGCACAGACATTTTGCCGTGGAGATAAACTGTCCAAGGAGGGCAGGATCCTGGTGCCGTGCTATCTAAGGGGTCTGCTTTTCATTATGTCACGTATTACTCCATTCCTTTCCAGGGGGAGGATGGCCCTCCCGGGAACGGCACAATTGGATTCACAGGTGCTCCGGTAAGTTTTTTGCACTGTTTTGAAACTGTAAGACTGTTATTTCTGCTTGTCTGACCAAACATGCTTCCTTTTCTTCATCCCCAGGGGCAGCCAGGAGACAGAGGTGATCCTGGCATTAACGTAAGTGTGCTGCTTCTTCATACATCCAACAGAAATTGCCCTGGCCTGTGGTTTGGCTCCTAGAGCCTCTCCATCAGCTGCATGGTGAAATGGGCTCTCTGAAGCAACCTGCTCCTCCAAAGCCCTCTTTTCCTTCTGCCCACTTTTTTTTTCTGGTGGAAGTGTCCTGCCTTGGTGCATTGGTAGTAACGTCCAAGGGTAGCAGCCTTGGCTGAATGCTCTCCGATGCAGCGCTGGACCCAGAGTTTGGGGTTGGGAGTGCCACCCAGGGGGGAGCTGGATGGTGCTATGACAGTGAAAGCCACCTAAGAAGTTCTTTCCCTCAATAGCACTGCAGTGTGGTGCTAGGGAGCCTATACACTGCTCTTCACCCCCCTCCCAAGCCAGCTCTCACAAGGTCACTGCATGCCAGCACCGACTTCACCACGCTAACAGCTGTCCATACAGGAGTCTCTTCGGTACTATTTTTCAGGGAACAAAAGGCTATGTCGGTCCTAAAGGTGATGAAGGAGAAGCTGGAGACCCTGGCAATGATGTGAGTAATCTGTATAAAGCTGAATCATCTTTCCCTGTGGATGCGGCGTGGGAGCTTTGGGCTGGGTTTCTTACACGACCTTGCCTGTGGGTCAGAACTTATCAGACTTTGTAAGTCGGCAAGCGCCCTTTGCCACTGAGCAGTGTCTGATGGCAAGGGGAGCTCTCTCCAGACGTTTGTTTTGTATCTACACTTTGTCTGGCAAACCTCTAGATCTCATAGGTTGAGGTAGGTATCATCTCTGCAAGGTTTTCTGTGTTTCCAGATAGCGCCAATGGTTGCACCTGTGCTGCACCACTGTCCTGTGGAGAGAGATTTTCCCGATGTCCGTCCTGATCCTCCCAAGTTCTAACTCATTTGGTTGGGTACACCAAGCTCAGATAACGTTTTTGTGGTTGAGCAGGGCTCAGCAGACATATGGAGGGGAAGGTGCTGCACCCTGACACACACAAATTTGTGGATTTTGTGGGTTTTTTTCATTCCAGAACCCAACCCCTGGCCCCAGAGGCATCAAAGGAGCGAAGGGCCGCAGGGGACCCGAAGGCCGCCCGGTAAGTAAGGACCCTGGCAGGGTTTGCAGCGATGAGCACAGCGTGCCAGGCTGATGGAGCTCCCAACAGCAGGGCTTACAGAATCACAGAATTATTATGGTTGGAAGAGACCTCAAAGATCATCAAGTCCAACCATATACCCAATGCCACCATGCCCGCTAAACCCACTAAACCGTGTCTCTGGCTTGGCGCAGACTTGCTGCGCTTGACTCTGCTCACAGCAGGAGCAAGGCAGTTTGAAAACCCGCTGCTGCAGCCTGGTACATGAGTCTCTGAAATCGTGTTCATCCCAAATCAAGGCAGAAAATGCAGGCATTTGTGCTTTTTCATGAGCAAAAGGTTCTCATATGATCAGGTCCAGTAAGGGCAAGCAGCCTTTCAGGGTGGCCATCCTAAACCTGAAAGCATTTCCATTCATGTTGAGTCGCCACTTGCTTGTGTCCCCCCACATTGATCTGGAGGCTACGGGAGAGGCATTTTCCAAGCAAGTGCCATCCATCCATCCATCATCCCCTGTCTGCTGTCGGGGCAATTCCAAGCCATGTCACACATGGTGGGTGTGCTCGCTGCCTACAGCAAGAGCTTGCCTTCCGACCTCAGTGGGCATGGCACCCGTGGAAGTGGGTTGCCTTCCTGCCACCCCCATGCAGCCCCAGGACACGGTGCAAGCAAGCAAATGTACCTCCTGAAAGCCCAGTGCAGGGACCAGCAACTGGAAAGCCAAGAGACTTTTCCAGACTCTGCATTGCTTAGCAAAGTATCAGCAGAGTATGCCGCAGATAGGACTGCCTGCTCTTGTAACTGCTCTCTCCACACTTCCATTTGGCAGGGACCACCAGGACCTGTGGGACCTCCAGGACCAGATGTGAGTGGGACAGGATCAGGGCACTGCTTGCTTGAGCTGTGCTTACACTACCCTGCATGATGGCTCCTGGGAGGGGGTCACTGCTGGGGGAACCTTGTGCTCCCGGGCTGGGTGGTGGCTGCCCCCCATTACTGTCCCAGTGAGTCTCACTGGCCAGATTTCCTTCATGCCAATCCATCACCAGCCAGTCCCCTCTGTAGCATGCCCCACTTGCACATCACTCATTTCCAGATCAGGACCTGCTTTGAGGGCACAAAGTAGCAGCGGGGATGGTGGGCAGCACCTGGGAGCCAGGAAGCTGCCTTCACTGTTATTCAAAACTTTTTTTACCTCTGTTTTCAGGAATGTGAAATCTTGGACATCATCATGAAGATGTGCTGTGAGTATCCCTGCACTGCTCCTCCCATGCTGCTGGGCTCCTTGCTGACCAGGAGGTAGCTGCTTTTTCTCTGGCCCCCGGCGAGGAGAGCCATCCCCAGGCGGCATGCAGAGGGATGCCATGGGCATGGCTCCCCTTCCACCAGTCACAATTAAGTCAATGAGCTGGGGGAGAGGTGGGAGGTCCTCCCTGCAGCTGGGACAGCAACCCAAAAGAGGCAAATCCTTTCTGCAACAGGTGTTACTGTCCCTTCTTTTGACCCAGGGACTTCCAGCTTGATCTCTAGTGTAGGTCATGCAATTGTTTGAGTTGTGCGTGCTGCAGGCTGGTTTGCTGTGTCTGTGGCTCTGTACATACACTATTATCCTTCAGGGAAAATATTAGCAAAGTTGTGTAAAATCTTTGTGTGGACCATTTTACAATGTTTTTTTCTTAAATAGCAGCGCCTGACTTTCCCCCCTTGGGAAAGGGAGGTCTGTTCTGGGGTGTCCTGCCATGGGGAGCAGCAGTACGCACGTGCTGCAAAGGGTTTCTGGCCCACAACCAGTAATGAAGTGCTGGAAGGACACAGGGTACTTGGGCAACTGAGTTTGAGCTCCATACTATGGTGATTTACTTAATCCCTCCAGGATTATATTATTTTTATTCAAATAAGAATACATCAGTGTGTGCAGAAACAGAGCTCTGCTGCATGCAGTGCTCCAGGGCAAGGCATCACAATCTGATACAGGAGAGAGGTCTGGATATTTCAAACAGGAGGGAAACCTCCATAAGCTTGAATTGTCCAGATCAGGTGTCTTTAAGTTTGCAGAAACACAAACCTAGTGTCTGCATTAGTGTGTGAAAAACCCTTGTGTCAAGTGTTTTAATGTTCTCTCTTTCTTTCCCTTCTCCTCTAGCTTGCTGCGGTGAGTGTTACTTGGCAAGGCTGCTCTGCAAACATTTGCTAGCCCTTCTCCTTGCTTGCATCCCTCTCTTTCCTTGCTTTCTGCCTTCTGCTATGGAGATGTGGTGAGAGCCTGGGAGGGAGGACGGAGCATGAGCAAGGCAGGGGAGGGCAGCAAGTTCTCCCCGAGGGTGCTGCGTGGACTCAGAGGCTGCTGTGGCTGGGTCCTACAACTGGAAAACTGTTGTCAAGGTGCCCTGTGCCAGCAAACTGCAGGCGGATTTTCTCCACCCTTTTTGCAGTTGAAAGGGACGTCAGTTCAGGGCACACTGTGGATTCAGCTCTGTCCTCTTTCCAAATCCTGTGCTGGTCTCTGGAGAAATGTGCTGGGTTTTTTTCTGTGATGCTGTCCCGATGGGTTGCATTTGTAGTCCAAAAGCTCAAAGGAAGAGCCAAGGGCACATGATGTCCTTCAGCCATGGGAAAGAGGGGGGTAAGCTGAGTCAGCCTCCTGCAGCCCACCAGCGTCACCTCTGTCCTCCTGGGCTGGGTGGATGGAAGAAGTGAGAAGGCTTATGAGGAAATGGGGTTTGGAATAATTACTGGCTGTTTGAAGGGTACTCACAGCTTGGCAATGCTATGTGTCTTATAAGAGGCGCTGAGCAAAATGCAAATGGAAAATTAGCAAACTGACTCTCAAGTCTTCTATGCGGTTAGTTTGCTACTTTATTTTACACCGTGCTTTGCGGGTAGATAAGGCACAGGCACCAACCTGGTCAGAACTAACAGCAGACATCAGCTGCTTGCTTTGGTATGCCTCCCTGCAAAACGTCCTGCTCAGATAGAAAACACAAGCCCCTCCGCTCCTGTGCCTTGCTGCAGAGTGCACTTGTGGTCCCGTCGACCTCCTCTTCGTGTTGGACAGCTCGGAGAGCATCGGCCTGCAGAACTTCCAGATTGCCAAGGACTTCATCATCAAAGTCATCGACCGCCTGAGCAAGGACGAGCGTGTGAAGGTGAGATTTCCACTGAGTGCCAGGATACAGTTGTGTGCACTCACTTATTTTTCACTGCAAACAGAAAAACGGGGAGATACCTTCACTCCAAAGAGCCTCTACGAGGCCTAACTTCAACAGTGTGACTGAGGTAGGTCTTGATTTCTCCCAGATTCATGAAGTGATGGAGATGAGACAACAGTTTGTTGTCCCAAAATACAGACATTTCACTCTTTCTGGGCAAAGGGACTCTGCCTGCGGTAGCTGTGAACTCTTCCTCCATGTCCCAGAGCAGATGGTTCATAAAACATTCGCCTGGTCAATCAGTCTCTCAGTCTCTTCCTTGTCCTGATGAGCATTTCAGGTGGCTGGAGTAGATAACACATGAGGTGTGTTGCAACTTCCCCTAGCTCCCTGATGGCCAGCCCCCCAGGCACCCTTGTCTGCCCCCAAGCTTGGATTTAGGTTACCAGTTAAGCGCACTACTAAAAAGGACCTTTGAATCCCAAAACAGCAACATTGTCCTGGTAGTGAGTCTTTCAGTCTGAAGACAGACACAAATGCTTACTCTTCTAACTCTTCCCTGGTAACCTGCTGTGCACGGGAAATTTTGTTTACCTCCTATTTGGAAAGGATGTTTGGGATCCAGTCTTTCCACCAGACACATCTGTAGCACACGGGCTGTAAAGCCACAACGACCTACCACTGGACACTTGTGTTGGGCATGCGAGGGTCTCTTTCGCTGGCAAAGAGTCAGTAACACGCAGAAAGGCTAGACCTGGGCAGCAAAACCACTGTGCTGGAAAAAACCCAGAAGTTTTGAAAAAAGATCTTTTCCTAGCCACGCACCATTGCGAATGGCTTGTGTTGAGACCATTGAGACGGTAAACCTGGGTTTAGGTCTTGTTTCACTGACTGGCTCACCAAATTGGTCCCCATGTGAATCCACTCCTCTTGGGGGCCCTTCTGCCTGGAATGAGGCAGAGGAGAGATGGCAGAGCCTGCTGTGAAGGCATAAAGTACAAACCACCAGCAGGATTTCTGAACCTTCAGGGCCTCCTGAGGTATCTGACCTTAACTGGCTTCTGTTTTTTCCAACAGTTTGAAGCTGGGGAGTCTCGTGTGGGCGTTGTGCAGTACAGCCATGACAACACGCAGGAGCTGGTGGCCATGGGGGATGCCAACATAGACAACATTGGGGCACTCAAACAGTGAGTATGTGGGGTCTCGGCACATCATGCGGAGACCTGACCCGGGAACATCTACTCACCTCCCATCCTCCATCTCCAGGCCAGCAGCTCCTGCAGCTGCAAGGATGCTAAATGTTCTTTAGTGGAAAGTAGCGATCAGTGGCATTGTAAGTGGTGCTGAGGCCAAGGAGCTTGCCAGTTTTCCACCCAAGGCCCCATGGAGGGATGTTTTGCCCTGCCTCACAAGTGTGTCAGAGATACGTGTTCGCAGGGGCTCCTTCAGTATCCATGGCGCAGGGCTTGGAGGCTTACTGGTGTCTGTGCTTGCAGGGCAGTCAAGAACCTGAAATGGATAGCTGGGGGCACGTACACTGGAGAAGCCCTGCAGTTCACCAAGGAAAACTTGCTACGGAGATTCACCTCTGACAAGCGTGTCGCCATTGTCATCACGGATGGACGCTCTGACACACTGCGGGACCCTACCCCGCTCAACTCTCTGTGCGATGTCACCCCGGTAAGGGCATGGGGAAGCACCCTGCCTGCACGGAACCACCACACAGCAGCTGTGCATCAGAGTAGTGCAGGCTCTCTGGGCGTCTCCATGACTTTGCTACCCAAGACTAGAGCAGAGGGGACACATGTCACCAGTAGCACTCTCATAAAGTGACAGGCGTTCAAGTTTATGAATGCCTTAGATGATGAGTGCATCTGGTAATGGACCCTTAACTTCCCTACAGGTGGTTTCCCTTGGGATAGGCGACATTTTCCGGAACCCTCCAAATCCAGATCACCTGAATGACATTGCTTGTTTAAGCAGACCGACCAGGCCAGGATTGTCCATTCAAAGGGACAACTATGCCGAGCTCCTGGATGACACCTTCTTGCAGAACATCACCTCATACGTCTGTCAAGGTGGGTGAAAGGTTGTGGCTGGAGGCAATAGGGAAAGTAGTGAGGATTTCCTCAGCCAAAGGGTGAGGGATGCAGGCTGCCCTCCCTTGCCTTCCCCGAGTCATGCTTTTAAGCAGGCGTTGAGGGAAGAGAATGACGTTCAAGGTTTAGTTAAATAAGGGACAAGGGCATCTCATGTCGCAGAACACTTTGCAGCTGGGTTCAGGTCCTCTCCTGCTGCAGGACATCTCTGTCCACAGCGTTTTTCAAGCACATACCTCTGTGCTTTCTGGTGCATGCTTATAGCCGTTGCACAACGCCTTGCACAGTGTGGCTGTGACCGAGGTGAACATTTGTCCCTTCTGTGGCTCCACAGGAAGCTATAGAAGTGGTTTTCCTGAGTGAGCTAGCAACTCTTACTAATTACTAATTACTCTTTCTAATTTTCTGAACAGAGAAGAAATGTCCGGACTACACCTGCCCAAGTGAGTATTGACTCCTTGTGCCACATGAAGGGGTTGTGGGTGGAATGGTGGGGGAAGTAGGAGTTTGTGTTTGTGGGAATGCATAGCTTGGACAACTCTCGCAACAGGGAGGCTCCTGGGCTGGAGAAGTGAACAAGCTTGCCAGACACTCGCAGGGTTTCTCACGCACACGCCAGCCTAAAGCACTTGGGGGAAAAGCCTAGACAGTTGCTTTTCTGGCACCTCAAACCTAGAAAGGAGGCTCTGCCGAATTTTAGCCTTCACAGGCTTTACCTGAGGCAGGTAATGAGATCAATTGCTATGTGGTGGTGGGAGCACAAGGAAAAATCAGCACTCTGGCAGGGATATTTGAAAAAGGTGCTTGAAAAGTGAGTACAAGGAGGAATTCAGTGGGGTACACCTCCAAGTCAGAAGCGTATACGGTCCTCAGACTCATCATGGAAAGAAGCTAGCCTCCGGAGATGAAGTGGTTCCCCAGACATGCAAGGACAGCGCTGTATTTAAGCAACAAGAGTCACTAGACTATCTAAGCCAGATAAGTACCTGGGAATGCAGCCTGTCGTAAGCCAAATAAAAGAAAGAATGAAAGGGTAAAAGGACAAGTGTAGGACAGCACTGGGGTAGGGGAAACCAAGCTAGCAAATACCCAGAGAGTGGGGATTTCCCAAGTGTGACAAGGCAGGAAGCCTGCAAGACAGCCAGTGACTTCACCGGCTTTCCATGGAAGAGGCAGGAGGAGAAATGCAGCATAATGAGCCCTGGACCTTTCCCCTTGCAGTCACCTTCACTGGGCCAGCGGACATCACGCTGCTGGTGGACAGCTCCACCAGCGTGGGGAGCAAGAACTTTGAGACCACTAAGAAGTTCGTGATGGTTCCTGGAGGCCAGTAAGCCTGCTGATGACTCTGTGCGTGTCTCGGTAGTCCAGTACAGCGGCAGGAATCAGCAGAAAGTGGAAGCTCAGTTCCAGTACAACTATACGGTCATCGCCAAAGCCATTGACAACATGGAGTTCATTAATGACGCCACGGACGTCAACGCCGCTCTGCGGTACATCACAGGGCTGTACCAGCGGTCCTCCCGTGGTGGAGCAAAGAAGAGGGTGCTGGTGTTTTCTGATGGCAACTCTCAAGGGATCACCGCGAGGGCCATTGAAAGGGCTGTACAGGAAGCTCAGCAGGCTGACATCGAGATCTACGTGCTGGCGGTGGGCAGCCAAGCCAACGAGCCCAACATCCGTGTCCTGGTCACGGGGAAGAGTGCAGATTATGATGTGGTCTACGGGGAGCGCCACCTCTTCCGTGTGCCTGACTATACCTCTCTGCTGCGTGGCGTCTTCTACCAAACTGTCTCCAGGAAGATAGCTGTTGACTGAGCATCTGGGTGGGCTTCTGCCAAGGCCATACCTGCTTCTGTCTCGCCTAAAAATGAAAACCAAGAAAACAAAAAAAAAAAGTTAACAGTATCCTTGACCAACCTGAGGAACTTGCGTCTATGCAGATAGCCATAGTGCCACAGCCTGGCTGTGCATAGTCCCCTTCCTTCTCCCCCTGCTTCATCATCTGCATCTCTACTCTGTTAGCCTCAAACTTCCCTCCCTGCCCATGACTGCCTCTCCCTTCCCACAGCAGGCAAACACAAGCATACCTAGCAATAAGCCTCCAGAACACCAATAGCAACCTCATCCTACTGTTTTTTGCCAAGAAAGAATCAGGATGAGGAATTTTGTGCCACTAAGGACTAGCCTGGTCTCGTAAGGCTGATTACGCTCTTTTCACATACAATTTTTTTTGTTCATTTGCTTCTTTCCTTCATACATCAACTGAACACTTGCCCAGCTCACAATGGTCCTAACCCAATGCTGTGCTTCAAGTGAAACGTTCAGCACTTCAGCAATCTTTCAGAGAGGATCGTTGTCATGGCTGGCAAGTTTGGTTCATATTTCCCATGCTTGGGGGGGGAGGGCTGGACTGCATTACCCAAGCTAGTTGGAAGCATCTCTGGTCTCCAGTGCCGTAGGATGGGGCACTGACTTCCCAGGGCTGGGGTAGAGGTGGGTGGTGGAGCATCCCTCAGCGCTGATGCTCCCATTCAGGGCAGAGAGGCTGGGCACCGACCAAATGGAAGATGGACATCGGCCATTGGGGAGGGGGGAAACCCTAGAAGAAGCTACGTAACTGCACTCCTTCACTAACTGATCTCATGGTCCTACAGTGAAACCAGGAACCTCATGAATAACCTGATGACTTGTGTTATGGTCCAAGCTCCATTCTGGAAAATCTCTCTGAGCCCAGTTAGTGGGATTTTTTTGTTACTTTTTTTTTTTTTTCCGAAAGTGCCAAGCTGTCTAATTCCCAGTGAGCTCTCTGGGAGTACTGTTTCTATAGGACCATCTAGGAGTTAGGCACCTGGGCCCTAGGGAAACCCACTAACTGTACTATATATTGAATTAGGGCCTCATCCACAGCCCAGCAAAGTCAAGGGAAAGACTGCCATTATCTGCCAGGGTCTTTGACTCACACCCTACAGATATACTGACAAAGGTGCTATCACTACGTGGGTGATGTGAGCCCTTGGTGTTTACACAGTTGTTTCCAGGACCACGCTGAAGATGTGGTTCGGCTGGGTGAGATTTTATTTCAGTGCTTCCATTGGTGCTCTTGCTATGAATTCATGCGCTTCTGAGAAAGCAACAGTGATTGCCAGGTATCGGCATCCCAAACTCTTTACTTTGTATCCAAAAGACCTTTGTACGACTTTTAGTTTTATTTTATGCCTGTGTTTGTTTTACTAAAATTGTCCACTTTGGAAATTTGTCAAATAAATTGTTTTCCACAATCTCGTTGGAAGTTTGTCTGACTTGAATTTCAAGAGCTCCGAATGTTTAAAAAGTTACTCGATAAAATAGAGGTTGCTGGGATGTGGGAGGTCTCCAGCAGAACTTCTCACATAAAACTGTACAGGATAGAAAAAAAGAGATCTATTGCTTTTGCATTGCAAATCTGGCTATTATTGAATGCCATGGATTTGAGAAATACTGTAAGTTGTCTTCATCTATTAAATAGTGCATAAAATTTTTATGAGAAGAACACCGAGCTCTCAAAGGATGGGAAATGCTTACACAGCTTCCTTTTGCCTTCTGGATGCAAGAAAAACAAAATGACACAGGTAGGTACTGTTGTTTCCAGACCAGGTGAAGAGGTAAGCTGCATTTGCTTCCTGCTTATGTTCAGCATCTCTTCTTAATATCTCATTTCTTGGGCATACAGGGATGCTGTTCTGCAGACAGAGCTAGTGGTGGTGGTATGAATCATCTCATCCAGCTTTGCCAAGCTCTGTGCTCCCCAAACATTTGTTTTACACCCTAAGACAGCTCTAAAAGGTGCCTGTCTTTGGGGAAGCTCCCAGACCATACCTGTACGTCCCAGGGGCTTGTTGCAACCTTTCACTGCGGATGCATGCAAAGTCACTTGTTCCCCAGACAGTGGACCACATTAGTGTCATGTTTCTGTAACAGAGAGGCGCTGCGTTGCTTCCTTCTTGTCTCACATCCTCCTCTTAGTCATGCTTTCTCCTGGGCCAAGCATCTCAGTTGAGATACTTGTTGGGCTCCCTGTCCGTCCCACAGCGCCGTGGACATCTCACTCATAGCCGGAAAGTCTGAGGAGCACCTCTGGTGAGGCCCTGCAAGTGACTGCAGTTTGTATCAGATGTCCCACTCTCCTCTACGTGGAAAGTTAGGAAAAAGTGCCTACACATCTGCCCTAATAAAGGCGGTTATTGTTACAGCTCAAGAAATATTTCTTAATGGCCCCCCACAGTCCTCAGTATGAATCATCCATGAAGGAAGCGAACATGACACAAGCAAGCCCCTGGGTTACACCCCTACTGCAAGGGCTGACCAGCCGGCGGGATGCATCGCTACCAGCAAGGGGGGGTGGGAAAAGGGGGCTGCCCGTCCCCCCCAGCTCCTGCGCACTCCGGGTGGTATGCCTCCCTTGCACCTTGGCGGGATTATGTCAAATGCAGGGATGCAAAAGAGACCTGGAGAAAGCTCTCTCTATCTTTGGGCTGGTTTACAGCTTTTTTGTTAAAAAAGCAGGTGGTAGGAGGGATTTTCCTGCTCCTGTGTGCTTACTGCCCCCCCCCCCCCCCCC